CACTTGCAGATTGGAAGGTACAATTTCAATGTCCCCACTATTTCTAATTCTAAACATCTTTTCAAATAATTTTTAAATAGTTTTAATATTATTTTACTATGTGAGGATTTAATTACTATTTTAGGAGTAGGGATTTGTAATTTGGGGCGGCTGGGAAAACTTAGAATTTAATAAGGAATTTGAATAAACCTTTTATGTTTAGTTTTGTAATTGCATGTTACATCTAGGGTTAGAATAGCAATATCTTGCCGTTAAATTTTGTCTCTGTTTTGTCATTTGTAGTTGTTCCCCTAGATTATTGAAATACTGAATTGGTCCTAGAAATATATCATTTATTGATTTTCCTCTATTTCTCCTTCCCATTCTGCACACTATGCTCTATCAGGTCCATCATATGATAAAAAGTACACGAATAGAACCACAATAAAACTTAACAGAACCTCCATATTTTGAAGCATGTCCTTTAACTTCTCACGGCGGCGTCTTCTTGCATTGTCATCTGCATCTCCCCCTTCCTGAGCAGCTAACTTATCGCTTTCTACCTCAAGTTTCCCATTACAACTTTCACAGTGGAAGTCTTCATCTTCAAAAGATATCAAGCGCAGAGCATCCAAGGCATTATATCTAAAATAATTCAAATTCTCAAATATTATGAAACAAATACTTTTATATTAACAAGCATGATCAGAATTTTCATGATGCGATTGCAATGAACATCCAAAACCTTTTTCCACAGTTGGGACATAGATATTCCTGAACTGTATTTTTGTTCTCCAGTTCATCTTTCAACTTCTTCTTCATGCGATGCAATCTGTACCTAACCACATCATATATCTACAACAAATTTCATCATAACAGCGTCAATAAATAGAGAAATGAGGATTTGATGAGAAAATAATTTTAAGATATTGTCAAAGAAAAATGAAAAACAATTTTAATTTCCCCTTCCCCAGCGATAAGAACCACCCAAAATATAATTTATAAAGATGCATTCAAAGAAAAAGTGACAGACCTGTGCATAGTCTAGACAACAGTAAGAGTGTGTATGCAGCTTGACTTTTTCTTCCCCCTCTTTTGGTCCCAATGAACCATCAGTTGTAGCAGCTACAGCAGCACTATACATTTTTGCACCTTTCGCAGTCTGACAGAAAACCAAACAAGATATGGCATAAATAAGTAAATGTGGACATGATAGATATCAAAACAATATCAATACACGACTTTATAAAATCACTCATTATTTATACTTTGGCAAAACTAAACATGACAAATAATAAAAATCTTCCTGCACCATCAGAAGGAGCCTAGGAAGTTTAAAATTATATATGCCTTATGTAAAGTTGGAATAAAAATAAGAATTCTTGCAGATTACACAGAGAAACTAACATAATAGAAGCCTCTGGCATAAAAGCGTAAGCAAACCTAGTAATTCTTCAAGATCTAGAATGTCCAAAAAGAGACTTGTCGGAAATTTAATCCGCATGAATATTGATTAAAACAAACTGGAATGCTATAGGATGATGATAAGAATCTAGATTGTTGACACTATTGCAAGTTAACAATTTTGTGTGGCTTTGGAGTTCGTTAATGGTGCACAAAAACATTGTTACTTGGATTGCGTTACGCATATTAATAAAATCAATCATGGTTCAAGGGCATTCACTTAATAGCTCACTCTTCTAGGATGAAGTGGTCGATTACTAAAGTCTAAAGCAAACCAAAGTGATTAGGAGTTCGATCCTTAATGTCCTATCCCTCGTAAAGTAATACCTTAGCATAAAGTCTGATAGGTGGATCCTTTGACCACACCTCAAGACCCTACAGCATATTAAATTTGCTCGGGGGCATATTAGAGATAGTAATAATATTATTAATGGAATCTCACTTAACATTTTAAGTTTTTAACCTTTTCAATGAAAATAAGTTACACAGGTTATGGACAAAACCATAAACTTGGTCATAGTCTAAGGAGCAAAGCTATATGGTTCACACTTGACATTCAAATTAATCCCTCTAGTTCAAAATATAAGCATCAAAACTTTGAAGGGGCTCGTTTTTTTTATAAGCTACAATTTAAATTTGTCCGATCATTTAATGCCTCTTTCCATTTTTACCCTAATTAATTATATATCTTTTTCATCTATTTTATTCCCTCATTCTCTCTCATCTCTTTTTTCACTCATCTCTCTCCCACTTACCCTCTCCACTAAAAAGGGTGTTTTAGAAAAATAAGTTGTATTTTTTACATATTTATTGTCTTTAACTAATTTTAACTTTTTTTAGTCGCGTAATATTTTAAACCAGATGGAGTAATACATAAATTGCAAATTACCATGCATCCATCCCAGGAAAATTTACAAAATAACAACCCCATAAAAACAATTTCCAAGTTGAAAGCCACTAGGGTGGCAATAAACATCATGAAGGGTATAGGTTTATCGAAACTTCGTTTGAAACTAATGGGGTACATCCATATGTGGTTCCAAGGCACACTCTTTCTATGGGCATGCATGTTGGGTTAGCTTCAGGTCTAAGGTATCAATATCTATTTTCACATCCAATAAAGTAAAGGTTTTAATTTTGAAACTTTTTGGCACGCATAAAATTTCCCAGATAACATTATGGATGTTATATAGTAGGGGTAAAATGGGGTTTTACTTTCCTCTTTTTCTTGTTCCGGTCTCTTTGATTATCACCTAAATTAGTCCTTCCTAGTATACCCCTTCAGATTTTGATGTAGGAAAGTATTAGATGAATATGGAATTAACGCTGAAACTATTGGTCTAAAGCCTTTCCCCTTATCTATCTCCTGTAGTATTCTTACAGCTTTGCTATAGATTAACAAAATCATAAATTAGACTCATCATTCATTAATCTACACCTGAAAAGCTAAGCAATGAAGCAACATGGTGTTCTCTAAATAATATAAAAAGGGGTATGAATCAGATTGGTTAGTTAGTGACAGTTGCATGAGTCAGATTGGTTAGTTAGTTAATGTGTAACAGGTGGAACTTGGTTAGAGCACTCAGTCCTAGGCTATATATAAATAAGACGGAAGGCCTGACATATGCTATGCCGTGGAATCTGAACTACTGAAGAATATTATCAAGCTTCTAAAATCCCTCTCATTCTCTCTGCTTCGCAAATTCCATCGTATCTTCCCCCTCCTTACCTTCTCTACACATCATATGGTGCATTTCAAAATAAGATATTGACAGCTGACTCTGTAACGCAGGAAGCTGAATCAGTATAGATTACTAAATACAAAAGAAAAATATAGACCTTTTAAGATACAGAGATGAATATTTAGCATGATTTAACAGAACAAAAATAAGGCTATGATGCCTAAAAATGTGCTTCATTGGACTTTAAATCGCTAACAGTGTTGGAAAATAAAATTGCCATATGGTGCAAAGATTAAAAATGTTATGATTCAATCAAGCCAAACGGTACCTCTCTTCTATGATCCCGAGTAATGAACTTCTCTTCTTCAAAAAACCGCAAAGTTCGACGAAGTTGTTTTGTGTGCAATTTAAGGTCCTTTGCCAAGTCTTCTTCTCTGACCCATTGTCGTCTGGAGAAAAAGAGCAGCATATTTAGCCAAAGGACAAAAAACATACCTTCTATTCTTCCGCTACATAAATCAAAGTTCAAACAATAGTGTCTTATGTAATTCTATGCCAACCCACAATGCACCGAAGATTCCACACCCAACAAAGTTAACGAACCAAGAGACTGTCCAGGATCTAATGACCCTAGCAAATAATCCAGCATTGCCTTCATACAAACACGGCCACTCCTCTCATATGTTCTTATCGTTTCATTTAAGTTCGCTCAAGTTCACATCCTGTTATTCTATTTTCTTTGCTTCTATCTTTATTTGGGAAAAAAATAAAAATGATAGCCTGCTCTCTGCTGTTTTGCTTTCAGCAAAGAAACCAGAAAGCACAACTTTGAAAGCAGATAAACACAAACAATAACAAAGGCCGAACCTCGTGAGTGCATCGAGCACCACTACAGCAATGCCTCTATTATCACTCCTACCCGTTTTAGGCTGATTATCTCCTTTGCTCGTCAGATCATCGTAGAAGGCTCTCGCTGCTAGTTTAACCAGCCTAGGCATATTCATCGAAAACCATAAACATATTTGAAGCAAAAATGAAACCGAAAAGCAGGTTTTAAACCATCCGATCAGGAGAGAACCGTACTTGTTGAAATGTTCGACCATTATGTAGATACGAAACCGAGCAAAATTATTGCACCGAAAGACGAGATCACGAATGAAGAAAAGCTGGAGAGGAACTGAACGCGCAAATTAAACGGTGAGCCAAAATTACTTGGAAAGATTTTATCAATTAGGAGGAGGAAATCAACCAATTCACTAGCTAATCATATTCTGTGGAAAATCAGATACGAAAAATCATTTGTAAGCTTCTGGCTTGGAGCTTGAAGTGTCGAAGTCTACATAAATTACGTGAGTTTTATCTAATCCGGAGAGAAGAGTTAAAAACAGTGCAAACGCACTGATTTCAACGCAGGAAGTGAACCGTCAAGCATGAATTGAAAGTGAGAGCTTAAACAGAGAGGACGAAGCTGTTTTAATCATTGGAAAGCATTGAAGAATAGGGTTATTAAAAGAGCATACAAGGAAGGAAGATCAAATCAGATGGCCCGTTGGATGATTTTGGGCCAGAGGATAGAGAAGCCCATTTCCTTTTGACTTGGCTCCAACAAGTCAATCTCGAGCCCTAGAAGACAGCACGCAAGCGAAGGGCGAGACATCAGCTCGAACCAAGCTCCGTGATGATGGCACGCTCGCGAGTTGATTTCGAGAAGTGACGATCTCTATTGGTCTCCTCTGCGTCCTTTCGGCTTCTGTTCGATGTTGGTTTGTTGAGTTAGACTTTATATCTCTGCTCTGATCTTCTCTTCTGGATAACTTTGCTTGTTCGTCTATTTTGCTTGAGAGCGTTCGTGATCTTCTGGAGTTCATTCGCCTTCGCCTCATACCAAACGGTGTCGTTTCTTTGCTGTAAATTTTACCTTTTTGCTTTTTCTGCATTTTATTTTTAAATTTTCGTGCTCCAACGGAAACATTTTTTGGTACAACGAAAGTTTACGTAAGTTAGGTGACATAATTGCCATGTCTGCATTGGAAAACGGAATTATCATTTCCAACACGTTAACCGGCAAGTTCGACCTCCATCTAAGAGGGATTGAGTTACTCTTGTCTTCGTCAAGATATTTATACACACGACAATGAGAAATGTTCAGAGTCAGATTCTCTGTCACTCCACACCTGACTCATTTCTCAAATTTCTCTACCATTGGTCTATGGAACTCCTACATAAGGGAAGCTGTGAATCAAGGCCATGCGGGGAAGGCTCTTGTTCTTTGCCGTCAGATGAAGCAAAATGGTATCCAACCCAACAATTCCACTTTCCCTTTCGTCGCCAAAGCCTGTGCCAAACTCTTAGATATCAAACAATCCCAAATCATCCATGCCCTTGTCGCCAAATCACGGTTTCAATCAAATGTATTTGTGCAAACTGCAATGGTTGACATGTACATTAAATGCGATCAACTGGAAGACGCATATAATGTATTTGTCGAAATGCCCACAAGGGATGTCGCTTCTTGGAATGCTATATTACTGGGTTTTGCTCAGGCTGGTTTCCTCGATCGGGTTTCTTGTCTTCTGCATCAGATGAGGATTTCGGGGACTCAACCGGACTCCGTAACCGCCTTGGCTCTGACTCATGCCGTTTTGATTACGAAAGATCCTAGATTTGTTGGTTCGATTCATTCTTTTGGAATTCGGATTGGAACTCTTATTGATGTGTCGGTGGCTAACACTTTGATTGCTGCATATGCTAAATGTGATGACTTGGTCTCGGCAGAGACAATGTTCGATGAAACTGATGTTGGTCTAAGGTCTGTTGTCTCCTGGAATTCCATGATTGCCGCATATTCAAATTTTGAGAAACATGACGGGGCTCTATGTTGTTACAAAGAGATGCTAGATGGTGGGTTTTTCCCAGATATTAGCACCATTCTCAATTTGCTTTCATCTATTGTGCAACCCAAAGCACTATTTCAAGGTATGCTCATTCATTCTCATGGAGTCCAGCTGGGCTGTGATTCCGACATATGTGTGGTTAACACTCTTATTTCTATGTATTCCAAGTGTGGAGATATTCATTCTGCAAGATTTTTGTTTGATGCCATGTCTTGCAGAACTTGTGTTTCATGGACTGCTATGATCAATGGGTATGTTGAAAAAGGATATATGGATGAAGGATTGACCTTGTTCAATAAAATGGAAGCAACTAGTGAAAAACCTGATCCGGTTACCGTGCTTGCTTTGATCTCAGGTTGTGGCCAGACAGGCGCGCTTGAGCTTGGAAAATGGCTTCACACTTATTCCATATCCAAGGGGTTGAAAGATGACGTTGTAGTTTGTAATGCACTGATTGACATGTATGCCAAATGTGGAAGTATCAATAAAGCTCGAGAGCTTTTTTATAACCTAACTGACAAAACTGTGGTCTCCTGGACAACTATCATTACTGCTTGTGCTTTAAATGGATATGTTAATGAGGCTCTGGGCCTTTTTTCCATGATGGTAGATCTAGGAATGAGACCAAACCACATAACATTTCTTGCCATTCTTCAAGCTTGTGTACATGGAGGCTTACTTGAGAAAGGGTTGGAATGCTTCACTTTGATGGCTCACAAATATGGCATATACCCAAGCATAGATCACTATTCATGTATGGTTGATCTTCTCGGTCGTAGAGGACAACTAAAGGAAGCTCTGGAAATTATCAAAACTATGCCTTTTGAACCTGATGCTGGAATATGGAGTGCATTGCTCAGTGCTTGCAAGCTTCATCGTAATATGGCAATGGCCAGGTATGTGTTTGAACGGCTCTGTGAAATGGATGCTCAGGGGGCTGTTCCTTATGTAGAGATGGCTAATTCATATGCTTCTGCTGGAATTTGGGATGGAGTTGCAGCTGTGAGGAGAAAGATGAAAAATCTTAATGTGAAAAAATCTCCAGGACAAAGCATTGTTCAAGTGAATGGAAAATCTAATGTGTTCACAGTTGAAGATAGAGATCACCCTCAAGCCTTGTACGTATATGATATGTTAGATGGTTTGTTGTCGCATTGTAGACGAATGATATGGACTCATTCAGATGAGGTTTCTGAACTTGAATGGAATTGAAGCCATTACAGAAGGACATCGTACACTGACGTTGATCGAACACATGAATTATTTGTGGATAGTGAATAAACAAGTAATTATTCTTTTCCTTGCCTTGCGTATTTGTCGACAGCACTGACCAAAGATTGTTGCTTAAGGTTATTTCTAGTTTGGGAGAAGAGAAAAGGGAAAATTATGCAGCCGCTTAGCATCTTTGGGCTAGCTCCACCCAAGAACCAAATTTACGTTAAAAAAAAAAAATTTGTAGTTTAAGAAAGGTACCAATTATAAAATGTAATATGAGTTGATTTTGCGAGTTGGTAGCGGGCAATGGCAACCTGCATTCTATTAACCGGGTAAGCCTGCCTTTTTATGAAAAAATTAATATAATTTTGTTTTAATTTATATGTAAATAAAATGTTTTTTTACCCTTTTATCTTAACATACTTTAAAAGGAACACAACACCCAATACTTTTTTTTGTGGGGTTAAACAATACTTGATATCTTTAAAAATTGTTTTGAAACATTTTTATTTTATACTCCAATGGCATAATTTGAAGGAAAATAATAATTTACTCAATTAATAATAGTAACAATAATAATTTTTTCCCAATGAATGATAATATTTTTTTTAAAATGCCAACTTACACACTGGCCTGCAGGTTGTGAGGGGCCAATCTACATTCCCTACTCTTATTAGTGTTTATGTTGATAGTATACTTTTCTTTTCTTGTATTTCATTAAATTTCATTCATAATGCAATATTATTGTCATCAAACTCGGCAAGAAAAATATTTTTTAAAAAAGATTAAATTACTTGAAATAATAGAAAAATAAGCAGAGATAAATTGAGTTTCATCTATTTTGGCAAAAAGACTTTTACTTGGAAGATTACTAGTACCTCATCAAATTGGAAGAACTCAAGGCAAGAATCGCCTGTTTTTCACGCGACCAAGCACCAGACATGAATTTGGGGCTTCAGTGGCAAGTGCCAGGAAAGGAAGGTTTATAGCGGCACCCACTCCCTGCTTTCCTGCCTCGTTGGTTTTCCAAGATCATAACATTGGACTTTTTCAGGTCTCAAAAAAATAAAATTGACGTTGGAAGTTGGGATTTTGGCTCTCCCTCTCTCCTCACGCCCTCTCATCTCATGGAAGCCGTTCCCTCTTCGTCCTCTCAGCAACCCCAACACTGCAATAATTGCCTTTCCGATTCCGAGCACGACACTGATCACAGAGACGGCGAGGCCATCGTCATGGCTGACTCTAACAACGGCTGCTCGCATCCCATGGTCCAGAGATATCCCCCGAGACCCATCGATAGTGAGCTTAAACGCAGCACCAGATGCAAGAAGAGAACTTTAATGAAGAAGAGGGTAGCCTTAGATAATTCCGAATCACCATCCTCGTCATCAAGTCGTTATTCTTCTTCTGCGGTTTCATCGCAAAGGGGTATCACTGTCGCGTGTCAACGGCGAAGCCCTAAAGTCCGGGTTCGCCGCAGTAGGGGCGACGTAGCCACGATCGGGTTTCCTCTTGGAATGTCTTTTGCAGCTGTTATTGCGCAGGTGCGACTTTGGTTTTTTTTTTTTTTTTGGCCAAATTTTTCTTTTTGCTTACTCTACTTAGTTTCATATTATATTCTTGCAATGTCGCTATGGAATATGAAGAAATTTATGATTTTTTATGATTGTGTATTGACTATCGTGACAAATTATTGCTAGTGAAGATTAAAATGATCTTGGGTCTTTCCTTGTGATAAGCATGATGTTATTGTGCCTTTCAACTTGTTCTCTTCATTTTTGAAGTTCTCAATGTTGATGTTTGCTTCTATTACGGACGACTAGTCCCTTTATCTTTCTCGGGTCACAGGAGGACGTCCACCAGTCCTTCGGCTCCTTTAAGGTTATTCCCTTGACTGCTCATAAACCCATCTGCTTCGGCAGTGGGACTTGAACGCCAGAAGTCCAAAGTTCTAATTTTGAATTCTCAGTGATCAACCATTGTGGTGTCATTCTGGGGAAGTTGATTTGTCACAACAGTAACACAGCATTTAAAAGCGCCTGAGTTTTGTACTTTTTGTTCTTTTTCTTCCCCTCGTTGCTCACCATGAAAGTCTACTTTCACTGCATTGCTGAGTAAATTGCTCTAACTAACTTCCTGGTTAAAAAATTTACTCTCCTCTGAGCTCTCTCATGCATTCATCTTTTTAACCTCAGAGTTTACCCTTCTTTCGAGCAACCAACAAAGTTATTGCTTATTAGCTATAATTTTAGAAATAGTTAGCCTTGCTTCGTACAGCAGTTGCACTCTACTTTCCTCACCTAGGGTCTTAGACGCTACACAGCATCTGAAGGACATGAAAGTAGATTCAAAGAACTTGAGCTATAATGGAGAGATGGGTTTAATGTCTCAGCTATCAAGATACATCTAATCTGATCCTTAAACTGTAACGAACCAATCCATCAGCTGCAGAATTTGTCACTTATTTATCATCTCCCTCACTACCTATTCCAGTACTAACATGCCCTAACGGGTGTGTTTATATGCTTTCGATTCTTATTCCACTTCTTCAGTTTGTGTTTGTTTTCGAATAAATACTCTATGTCACCAGAAATCCGCTATAGAAGGTCTTGGTGGATTTTTGGAAATTATAGCTGTTCACCCTATATCAAAGAGTGTTTGGTACGAACTTAGGAACATACAAGGTTTCTAAGTTACTTAGCATATTCTATAGCTCACTCCTTTTACAAAGCTTTTGTTCCACTGTTCAACCTCTTAAGCATAACTAAACTGTGCTTTTATTCCGTGAAATCTGTATTGTTATCCAATGTTTGTCATTGCAAAAGAGGATTAGTAGGTATCCTGCAATCTTCCAGTAAATATGTCAATGTCACATAACAGCATGTTGGACTGGAAAGTGGTGATTTTATACCTGTGACAATAATCAGATGGTTGTTTTGCTTTTGAAGGTGAATACAGTGCTGCGATCAGCAGTTGAAATCAATTATGTGTGCCTTTCATAGGGAGCATGTGATGCTTGGTATTTGAAATTTAAGAGAGGTCTTTGTATGTTGTTGCTTGGGTGACTTCATTTTTGGCTTCATGCTCTTGTTTTGGACTTTATGCCTTCTGAAGGACATCTCAATGACATAATATCCTGGGCATTTGCAATGGCATTCAGTCCATTCCATCTGTCAGTTATACACGGATCTTCTGGGGAAGCTCTTTTGTGCAAGGCTGTTTTTTCATCCCGTTTGATATTATTTTGGTTGCATTTTCATGTGTTGTCTGATCTATGAAAAATGTTCACGTATTTATCTTACTGATCTTAGGCAATGAATAATTTAAGTGCCTCACTCCTTGCTAAGTAAACTCTTACTTTGTATTTCTTGATTATTGTGATAGAATATTGCTTCAGTTGCCCCTTGTCTGTCAAAAGCCCCATTTAGTGGTTGACCCATCCAAACTCTGTTTTGCTGTGTGATAATGCCTAATTCAATATATTCTTATGATTACTATAGATTGTATTGTTAATACTTAATATTGTGCATTCGATCTGTTTTGCTTTTAGATGTTGTATAGAAGAGATAAGGCTGCTGAAAGGATGTCTCCAGAGCATCTTTCATTGGTAATTTTCTTGCCCATTTCTTTCATGAATTAGAGGAATTTGTCGCTCCAGTTTTGGGGTTTATGCTCTCGTTGGTTGTGGCATTTCCATTTAGGAAGCATTATTAAAGATGACTCGGTTATTTTGATCCACATTGTGATGCCTGAATTACAGAATTTGGCGATAAAATTCGTCAACCTTGTAATATCTCATAAATATCCTGTTATTTTTATGGATAAACATTATAAGTAGCACATTGGGAGGTGATTGGCATTGGCTTTTATACGCCATTTTGGTGCATGCTAATTAATTTTATCAGATTTTGATTTGAACATTGACTGTTGTTTGTGAACCTTGCAGATGTGCACATCCGCTGTCAGAGAATCTTTAGCCAATGTAAGCCACATGTTTATTGCTGATTCACCTCTTGATTTCTGTTTTACTTGTACTTTAATGTTTAGCTCGACCATTTGCTGTGTAACGTCTGCATGCCACTTGTTTTGGTGCCTATCTGACTTCAGGTTTTTGGAGACAAGCTGGATGGTCTTACAAGGAACTTTGAACAATCATTTGATAGCACTCTGAATACTCTTAGATTAATTTATGAATCAACTACAGGCAAGAAAGGAAGTGAATTTGATACTTTGAGGAGAGAAGTTCTAACTTCTGAATTGACTCTTGACAAAGGAGGTTGCAAAGGGGATGCTGTCGAGGAGAATGCTTGTTCAGAGGCAGTCATGCGTCTTGGAATCCAGGATCAATCAAATAGTTCTGAAGAGGTCAAGGAGAGCATTCCTATGGATTCAGCTAGTCATAGTCTAATTGTGCCTGGGCAATTAAACCCAGTGGCACGTCTCCCTCCGTTCTCCGCAAGGTCTATAATAAATAATTCCGATATTAGTCTTCTTGAGAAATCTGTCATGGAACAAAGTCTTTCCAATGACCTCAAGATGATGGAACTTGGCCTTCAGATGGAAAAATTGGGACTACAAAAGAAAAACTTGGACCTCAAGTCAGATTCAAATAATCTGGAGAGATCAAAGCTTGCTATGGGAATCTCAAAACAATCTTTTAAAGAAGAAAAGTTTAAGAATGAGCAAGAAGATCTGAGACATGGTGAGCTAAGTAAGAAGTGCATTGACTGTCTTATTGCCGGTCTGCTTGTTATGTCATCCTCACTTTTGTACGGTGCTTATGTTTATTCTTATGAGCGGATTGCCGAAGCTACTGCATCTTGTGCACCTTTGACTGAGGCAAGTATTGAGTACTATGTCTATGCCCTTTGTTCTGGCTTTGGTTGCTTTAACGTGTGCTCACTGGTCTTTGGGACTCATTATTCTATAGTGTAGCATTTATGTGAGTTGGGAGATATAAATTCAATTTCTTTCTATAGGAATTCTCAAATCATACTGGTAGCGTTACATGAATGCTATTTGAGGCAGCTTTTCTGGGATACATGCTAGCTAGTAACCATTAATCATTATATTAATAACTACAAAAAGTATTGATTGTTCTTTGATTTTTTTTCCCCCCAGAGCAGCAACGAGGGTTTTTTAGATTGATTTGATTTGTGTATCAATTTTCTTAGTAAACATGTATAATGGTGGAAGATTCACAATATCATCGTGCCTCTTGTAATCTGTAGTTGTTTACAAGCATAGTGATGCAAATTATTAATATGAAGCAAGATGTAAATTGCACTAAACTATAGTGATTTTAGCTGCATATAATAGCTGTATGTTTTCCTGTTCAGAAAATATTGATGATATTCTCTTTTCTCTATTTTAGGAAGGATACTCCTGGTGGACTCCTAGGTCAGTGTCCTCTTTCAATTCAAGGATGAATGTTTTGTTGTGTCAAGTTCAAGTTGTGAGTAGGATGACATTTGGCTTCCTAATGATCTGTGCTGTTGCATATTTGCTCATGTGGCGGTCAACAGCATCGACAACACAGACAATGCCGGTAACTTTCATCCTTTTGCTATTAGGAGTTGCTTGCGGCTATTTTGGCAAGCTGTGTGTGGATACGTTGGGAGGGAATGGTTATGTCTGGCTCCTATATTGGGAGATTCTGTGCTTGCTTCATTTCTTGTCCATTGTTTGCACATCGGTTTTGTTCCAAATCCTCCATGAACCTGTCACTGCAACACAAACAAGAAAGGGTGATACAAAATTCCCTTATTGGTTCCGAAGATTCCTGTTCTACGCTTCCTTGCTGGTATTTCTGCCTCTATTCTGTGGTCTCTTGCCTTTCGCTGGCTTGGTTCATTGGAAAGATCATTTTATGATGAAGCTGACTGAGCATTTGACAGATTCGAGTTAGTTTTGTTGGGCTTAGGCATGTCTTTTTGCTTGATTCTGAGCTAAATTGGTAGTAGTGAGTCAAGCAGACATAAGTTGTCTTTGCCCAAGGCTGTGATATTAGTTCCTGTATCGCTAATTTTTCTCTTCGTGGAGGGCCATGTGCAAGTTTGAAGTGGTCCTCTTCTAAGCAAGAGTTCATAGAGGTGATGTTTATTTATCCGTCGAACGTTGTAAAATAAAGGCTGTATTGTAAATTTTTTGGTGATGTAATGTCTGAATTTTATGTTATGAAAATCATTGCTTTTTATTTTGAGACCGCCTTGCCTGGTCTGTGGTGGGCCCATTATCATATGCTCTAATTCTATTCTTAACTCAAAGCACAGGGGGGATTCTCGTATCTGGAAATTTATTTCAGAACAGCAAGATATTGTGGATAGGGGCTCCAGTTGGACTGTTCGAAATGGACAATCAATTAACTTCTTCACTGACAAGTGGCTGTTGCCTGATAAGGCTCTTAGAGAGCTGTGTCTCAGACCCCTCTCGGTAGAAGAAGAAGAGAGCAAAGTAGCAGAGTAGGTGGCTTATGGTACTTGGGATTATCTACGCTTGTCAACCATAATTCCGAGTAACATCATTCAGAATTTGATAGCCAAATTACCTCCAATGATAGAAGCTAGAGAAGATTTATTATCCTGGAATGCCACTCCGGATGGTTCCTTTACTGTGAAGAGTGCTTATGATATGCTGGAAGAGTACACTGAGACTCCACATAAGAATGTCTATAGAGCCATATGGAAGTGAAGAGGGATTGAAAGAGTTGGAGTGTTTATGTGGATAGCTTTTAATAATAGACTTCCTACCAATGCGTGGAGAAGTACCTGGTCCTCTACATCTCCAATTTGCACTTATTGCAAGGCAGCGAGAGAAGATATGATGCACATACTACGAGACTGTGATTATGCACGTCAACTTTGGCTACAAATTCTTAATCCCAGGTATTATGCTAATTTCTTTTCTGCCTCCCAAAAAGATTGGTTCGCTCTTAATCTCAAGAGAGTTCGGAATTGGTAATAATAACACTTGGAATTTAATATGGGGAATCACTATTTGGAAACTCTGGAAATGGAGGAATGAGGTGACTTTTGACTCGAACTTTGTCAAACCGGAGGAACCTGCTCTCCTTATCCGTAGTTGCTGGAGAAGTTATGTCCAAACCAATAGTGATGAGTTAGACAACGGGGCTGATTCTCAAAGCCCTCAAGTATGGCAACCACCCCCGGTAAATTGGATCAAACTGATTGTGGATGGGGCTGTTTCCTCTTCTTCCAGCAGAGCAGCTTGTGGGGGTGTACTCAAAGATCATAATGGCAATTGGGTGGCTGGCTTCACACAGTATCTCGGCCACTGCTGCCTGTATAAAGCTGAAAAATGGGCCATTTATAAAGGATTGCAACTTGCATGGGATATGGGCTTTGGAAAAGTCATTCTTGAGTCTGATGCCTTAAATCTGGTCAATATCTTAACAAATCATGAACGGGTCGAGAATAACTGTCTTTTATTGACACGAATTAGAAATCTCATTAGACATCCTTGGAACCTGGATATTAGATTTATTAGAAGGAAGAATCAGGTCGCTGACTATCTAGCAAAGGAAGGACTTTCAAAGTGACTTCTGAGCGTATGGGATTCATTTCCCCTAGTTGATTTCTTTTAGTTGTTGAGCTCTGCTCTCTTTTGTATCAGAAAAATATATATATTTCATCAAATAAAAAAAAAAGTTTTTAAAGTTCATTAATTCTATCTTAATTTGACAGCTTTTTCAAATATATCCTTATTTAATGTGTTTTTTTCCAATAAAGTAATACTCTACACAATAATAAATAATAAATAAAATAATGCATTTATATTAAAAAATTAATGACTTGCAAACATAATAAATAGATTTTTTCTTCCAAATACATAAATAAAATCGAAGGAGCACCATTTAACTGGGTTAGGTATTCAAATGGCTATTAGTAACATCATGGACAATCAACTATGCTTTTGTTTGTTTAGAACCTAACATTTACTGCCATCCATAATAAAGTTTATAATTATAATTCGAACATCACTCGCAACAAATTAAAAAAAAAGTTTATCCTATAATTACACTTCCATGTTACATAACAATTCATTCCCTTTCCAACTCAGCGCATAACAACTATGAGAAGCGCACATAACTTGGATGTAGACGTAACGAAATTGAACCAATGAAAGTGCTTGCTAATTCACTAGCGTCAAGGGGAACTGTAGCCCATTCAAGGGATGAAGCTTTCTTAGCCCCCCTATCCATTACATGACTAGTCCAGAAGTGTTGAGATGGAGTCCAACCACATAAAACGAACAGGAAATAAATTCATTTCCCTTTGCAGCATCTAAATAAACGTCGTACAACATACTATGAATGGGAAGAAAAAGAATGATCTCTGGCCTAACAAGGATAGGCAAGAGCCACTGAAATTGAAGCCCCTGGGAATCAAACTTCTCTACAAATTGGAATCTCAAAACAGATCTCATATTCCTCCTAACTTTAACTCCTACTTTTGTTCACTAGGTTTTAAGGTACATTGTTGCATCGTATTTTCCTTAAGAAACCTATTGTCACAAGGAAAATCGGATGCGACAAGGTGGTTGCCTGCTGAACTTTATAAAAACCAAAATCCCTGTCGCAGTAGGCAAGACAAGCCAGCAAACTTTTTTGCCATTTTCGCCTTGGGGTCAATCACAGAACCTCATGAGCCTTTCCGTAATACCTGTTTATGAATGGGGACTGCAAAATACCAGTGTACTATATATATGAGCAAGAAGATAAGCATTCTGAACGGGAACAAGGACTTATGACAAGAAAAAGTATAGCACCAATTGCAAGTTGCAACTATTCCTTTCTTATGGGGAAAGGGGATGGAATGAAACAAATAACTTTTTAAATGCGAAATGTCATGTGTCCCTAAATGGAAATTAATAATAAAGAAATAGCTGTTATTAAGTTATTATTGCAGGAATATAATAAATATTTCATATCCCAAATGTAGTGCAATGGAAAAGGAATTATTTTCCACACGGCCATAATTTGTAAGCAGCACAGCAATACATATCATTGGTATCAAAGAAAAGATAACTGGGCAACCCATTTAAAAGCAATGAATTGGGATCTTTTCAATAAATAAAGCAGACAAAAGAAGTGGCCAACAGTAACCTCTAAGACTACCATTCAAAGTGCAAATGGTATGTTTAAGAACCTAAAGGAGCAAGCAAAAGGTCAAACCAAAAGGTTATCTCCAGGAGGATCTTCGATCCCCAGAGAAGGCTACGCAGCTATTCCTTCACCATAAAGGGATCTTTCAAGAAGGATTGACCACCAAGCAAGATTGCCGGTAGAAATGAGGACTCACATTCACGTATAAAGATGCAACCCTTGGTCCAAATTCCTTCAACCAGTTGAACCAACACAAGTTGAACAAGACAGACCAAGAGCATAGCTTTTTCCTATATTATATGGCTGTCAAAATTGCAATTTAATTTGTAACATGTTTACAAAATTTACGTCAAGAAAATGGGCCAACTGGTACTTGGTCTCGATTTTCGGCAATCTGTTAGTCTTGATTTTTGGCACTCTATGTAAACTTTACAGAAACTTAATAATTGAGCTTTTCCTTTAATTTTTTATTCTCCTATCAAGGGCCTAGCTTTCTCTTCACCATATCAACTGGTGAAGAGGGAAGAATACAGCTCCAAATGCTACATTTACACCCAAGTATTCTTCCAGCATGCTATTGCTTGTGCAATAGCACCAGTGGCGATGCAACCTTATATAGATTTGCTACAGTTTGACAGAATGAGTTGAGTTTGTCTGGTCACTACAACCAGACACATAATCATCAGTAGCTCTAATTGAAGTGATGTGCAAAGGTCAGACATCTGACTCATTCTTGGACAATCAACATTGATGTATTTAATTTTCATCAACCATACCAAGAGCATAAGAAGAGGGCGATGTCATCCTCCAATTCACATGCTCATGACATGCTACTAGCCGTACAAATGGAGAACATTATAACATAAAGAGGGGACTGAAGGTTTTCTTGATGATCATCATTATGATGACATTGGATTTCATGAAGAAAAGGAATTATCTTACAATTATATATATATATATATATATATATCTCGGAATAAATCTTAGACTCAGAATTTGCTAAGCGCTGATTTATTTCATAATTCAAGCGTTCAATATTGTGATTTATGGATATTTATTCTGTTGTTGAGAATAATTTTTTCAAAATGTTTGGTTATAAATGTGTATTAGTTGTTCATATTTAAATTTTATTTTTAAAAAAAATTAAGAACTATGCGTTATGTTGTGGAGGCATTAATGGAAGGTATAAGTTGGAAGTTGGGGATTGTGATTTGTGTTCCAACTGAAGAAGACTGAGTTAAGAAGCTTCATTGCGATCAAGAGCAAGAAGCTTCACTGCGATCAAGAGCTTGAGGATCCAATTTTGGATGAATCCAATGAAACCAACGCAATAAGCCAATAATTAGTTTTTCCCTCTTAGTTCATCAAATGATCAAAAGTTCAGAAGTGTTCTGAAAGAGGAGGCGTTGTACATCCCATTTTTTTGGGTGGTCTCGGTTAGGTCTTCCAATTATAGAAGTGGCAATTTTGATGGACTTGAAAGTGGAAGATGACCAGAGATGAAGCAAAGTGTTTGGGCTACTAAAATGACCTCACATAAGCCATAGATGCAAGGCTATGTCACAGTTTTATGGCCGGGACTAAGAAATTGACTCTCAAAATTCTCGATTAAACTCAGAGCATCCCCATCCAATCGAATAGATAGAACTATAGCTTGTTATTGCTATGACAGAAACTATCAATTTTATTACTTAGGGGGGAAAAAGAAAGAAAAAGACTAAGGCCTCGTTTGGATTGCCATTGCAGATAGTAAAAGCACACGGGGAAGCGTGAAACTAAGGTTTGTGGTTTATTGTGGCTCAGAAAATTGTTTGGATGGGGCTTCTTTTCTAATTGACTTATAGAAAAAAGTAACTTTTCTAACTGACTTATCCAACGCAATCTAGATCAACTTTTCTAACTGACTTATAGGAAAATTGTACAAAGCTTACGATCTAATTAGTTATGTGATTCCATTTACTTTAATTAGAGACCAAATGAATTTTAATTTATATTCATGTTTGTCTATTATGTATATTTAATTAATTATTTACAATGTATTTTCAAATTTTTCTCCATAACAAATATTTTTATTTTATAATTTAACAAATAAACTATTTATATTTTATCATAATAATTTTACGTGTTTTTTTAAACTATTATCACATTAAAAACATAAAATTTCAAACACTACTCAATGCCCTTTTCAGTCATTTTACAACTAAACTAACTTTTCTATTAATCATCCAAACAACTTTTAACTTTTTCAACTGACTTTTTAAAAGCACTTATCCAGACATAAACCGCATTACACTAACTGACTTTTACTCTAACTTTTGTTACAAAAGTCAGTTGGGTTAGAAGTCAATTTTATCCAACGCCAATCCAAACATACCCTAATAATTCTCAGGGCATAAACAAATGTGTTAACTCTAAAAGTTGAAATGTTCACATTAGGTATATCTCACACTAATGTTGGAAAATTTTGAAATCCCAAAGTATTGTAAGAATGTCCAAGGACCTACCTTAACATTAGAAACATCGGGTGTATCTGGTGTTTGAACAGGGTAGAACTTGTAAAATCTCATACTTTCAAATGCAGCTTTAGTTTCTTCACTCATTTCCGCAATGGCTTTCTTACGAGCTTCCCTTGCCTACAAGAAAAGAACTAGGTAAGATAGCAGAAAGACACCCTAGATGTGCAGAACCAATTGCAACAACCACAGTACCTCTCTATTTGCTTTCTTTGCTTCTCGAACTTTTTCCTTTACAAATTCCTATAACCATAAAAGGATCAGCATACCTTGATGCTTTAAACATATGAAAAGCATGAATATATCATATCTGTTCAACTACTACTTACTTTGAAGGCATCCTTTTGATCTTCTGATAATTCCTCCTCCTCTATGAGCTTATCTGTGAACTCCTATAGAGCATAGCATAAATTAGAACATGAGTTCCTTGCCTAAAGTCATTTAATTTTCCAAATTTAAATATTTTATTCCTATGTATTCATTACAAGCCATAAGGTGCAGAAATATAGACAGAGCAGGTAAAAATAGAAGCTAAAGGTCTTCAGAACTCAGTACTAACAGGCTGCCAGTTAGATTAAGCATAAATGATCACCAAATGATAAGAAAAAAAAATTGAAATTCCTCCAGAATAATGCCACATATTGTGAAAAGCGGACGTACATGATCAATAGTTTGGGAAAACAAAAAGGATCCAAACTACCACTTCTAAGCTGCTTCATCTGACATTTTCTAAATTACAAACGATACTGAATTAATTTATTACCTCAAGCTCATCTAACTCCCAATCAAATTCACAGAACACCTGCATCAAAGAAAAAATAGGTAAACTCTTGAAAACCAGATGTAGAACAAATCCATCCAAGTGTTCACCACATATACCGGCTTTGGCTCTCCAGGAAAAATAATCTGAACCTCAGTGCTCTGTTCAAGTTCATCTTCCTTAAAAGGCTGGTAGAAATCTGTAAATTGCATAGGTGTCACATATAACTATCTGAATAAATGCATTACCAGCAACTGATGATAATCATGAATCTACTATTAACAATATTAAGTGCCAATAATTAACATCAACCATCAATCAAATAACAGTCCGTACAATCTAATAAAGACATTACTTGATGCATTAATCCCAGTGTAAAAAAAACCGGACCGGACCGGCCGGTTCAACCGGTGAACTGGTCAGTGGTCCGGTCCGGTTCATAAGCTAAACCGGAGACCGGTTCAAACCGGATTGAACCGGTCAAACCGGTGTGAACCGGTGAAAACCGGTAAAAACCGGTATTGAACCGGTTTAAATAAATATATTGATATTTATCCTATTTTTCTCATTTAACTCCTAATATCTCAATTATTATAGATTTAAATGAATTTTGATGATGAGTTTGGCATCAATAACTATTAATTTTAGTTATTGAAAAAATTATAAAGATCAAAATTCTCAATATTGTTGTACTTTATTATTATTACAATCAAATTCTTATTGTATTTCTTTATATTTTGTTATTAGTAATTATTATTATTGTTATATTTTGTCATTTTTAATTAAATTAAATTATTTTAATATGACCGGTTTGATCCCGAGTTGACCCCGGCCTGACCCATTAACCCTTAAACCACTACCTCAACCGGTTTAGTGTCCGGTCCGGTTTTTTGTTCCTTGATTAATCCAATCTCGTAGTAATGGCTAGAATATGAAATGGTTTGCTTTTCCCTGATATTAGATACAACTCGATACACATTCATATTGACAGTTAAATTACAATATTCTAAAGACAGGAGACTCACAAGGTAAGCAGTACTCATATTTCTTCAGCCGGTCCAACTTCAGATGCTTTAAAGCAGACCTGCATAACATAGATTAATCACTGATAAAATACAAGTATCTTCATAAACATAAATATGCATATCAAGGCTCAAAGTGTATCAATGGGAAATCTTATGATGCTAATTCCAACAACTAATACGATAAAAGATAAAAATAATAAATTTCATCAAGCTGTGCACATGAAACCAGGTAACTGAACACTTTTTCATATGGTAGAAAATAACAAAGTGCTACAACTTCCGTAATTGTTGTATTTCTTAACATTTCCACTTAATATTAGCCAATCCACACATGTTCATTTCATAGGATAGAACCCTAACATTTACTCTCCAAATATCAAAATAATTTGCTGTGGGTTCTAAAGTCATTAAATTTTACTTGAAATTGTGGAAGGTGGAATCTATTTCATCATCTAAAGTATTAAAGCAAGGAGAATAAGAAACACAATTCCGTCATTAACATATTGCTATGTCAAAAAATTAAGGTTGAATCAGTTAAACAATTTTGAAAAAAATTGCGCTGACAGATATGCACTGCAAACATCAAGTATATTCCAGAACGATTAGACTTAGCTGCAGCCCCTCATCTCTTTGCTATCAGGTTCCTCAATTAAAATGATAAATGTATGGTAAGCTTTAGCCAACCTCATTCTAGTAGGATAAGGACGCCTTGGAGAAGTATTGTGGAAGGCTTTGGAAAAGAAAAGTGTACGGGTTGCGTATATCAAAGTCATACAAGATATGTATGAGGCGGTAACTACCAATGTAAGGACGCCTGGGGGGGAGACAAAGGACTTTCCTATTAAGATTGGCCTACATCAGGGATCCTCTCTGAGTTCGTACTTGTTCAACATTGTTCTGGATGTTCTAACTAAACCTGTTCAAGAAAGAATCCCTAAGTCCATGCTCTTCGCGAATGATATAGTTCTTATGGCGGAATCAAAAGAAGAGATTAACACTAGTTTGGAGTTATGGAGAAGAACTTTGGAGTCGAAAGGTTTCCGTTTGAGCAGGAACAAAACAGAATATATACATTGTGATTTTGGAGGGAGGCAAGGTAATAGGGATTTGGAGGTGAGGATGGGAGAGCAAATTATTCCTCAAGTATCAAAGTTTGAATACCTAGGATCCATTATACAGGAGGATGGGGAAATTGATGGAGACATTTCTTATAGAATACAAGCTGGCTGGTTAAAGTGGAGGAAAGCTACCGGAGTTATTTGCGATAAGAAGGTACCTGAGAAACTTAAAGGAAAATTTTATCGGACTGCTATAAGACCAGCTATGATGTATGGTAGTGAATGTTGGGCAATAAAAGGAAAACAAGAGCACAAAGTCGGAGTAGCAGAAATGAGGATGTTGAGATGGATGTGTGGTCATACAAGAAAAGATAGGATTCGAAATGAAAAGATCAGGACAAGAATCGGTGTGGCACCTATCCAAGAGAAAATGGTTGAAAATCGCTTAAGATGGTTTGGACATGTGCAGAGAAGGCCTTTGGAAGCCCCGGTGAGGAGGATGGATCAAACAAGATGAAGTCCCATAAAAAGAGGCAGGGGAAGACCGAGAAGAACGCTGAATGAGGTCATTGAACGAGACCTCCTAATCAACAACATATCTAAGGATTGGGTTATTGACAGAGCACGATGGCGTCGTGTGATTCATGTGGCCGACCCCACCTAGTGGGATAAGGCTTGTTGTTTGAAATTCTAGTAGGATAAGGCTTTGGAAGTTTTGAGGTGAGGTTCATCAGTTAAAATATGAAAAGTGTATGGGTCTCCAACAATAGCACGATAATTGTATGATTTAACTAAAAACCGTACTAGACGTCTCATGATATTGATAGATAACCATAAACCTGTCATTTTTTAACTGGGCAACCTAATAGCAAGGTTAAGAAAAGATCACACACGAGCATTTTCAAATCCAAAATACTTGCACCCACTTCCCCCACTAGTTTCTCTTGAAAAAGAATCATCTAATTCACCAGAAATGAAACTGAACATCAGATGAGCATGCAGAAAGTTGAAGGTAAATAGTGGAGGAACATGGCGTGAGAAGCAAATAGAACAAGAAAAAAGGCGACAAATAGCTCATAAAATTCAGCACCTGAAAATGATAAACAATAGCGGCTATTTTACCAAGGGGAGGAAAATTGGCCAATAACCTTGCAATGTGAAGGAGAATGTTTCTCAACGCAAAACACTTAACAAATGAGGGAAGGGGCAAAAAAATCATATTTAAAAAAAAAAAAAACAACAACAACAACAAAAGATAGTGTTAACTTAAAATGCATCAACACTTTCTATGAAACTGCAATACTAATGGGACCAGAAAGCATGGAACAGACTTATCATTCAACAGCAAGAAAAAGAGGCAGATGGAAGGCAATACCTTCTTTGGGTGCATCTCAAGATATATATTTGGGACTTTACTCTATCAACTTGACTTTCTCTGTTGAAGTCATTAAACCATCAACTATAAATATTAGGATTCAGAAATGACCAAAGAGCACTGTTTAATAAGAAAGTCTCAAAAGAAAGGGCCAAATGGGATGGTTACCGATCCTCTAATGGGATATATGGAACCCAGTCCATTTTCATTTGTTTCATAGGAATAATTTCTTCAGACTCCCTTTGAACCGAATTAATCCCAATTTTATCAGATGGTGGAAAAGGTGATACAACCTATATACAAGAGGCAATTAAAAATATTATTTAAAAAAAATGGATAAATTAAAATTCCAAACTGTCAGGTTTGACATATTTACAAGCGACACTAATGAGGCATGATAGAAGTAATATCATTTCAAAATGACAATATAGCACCCAAACATTTAAGCATTACTAATTTTTAGTCTAAGCCAAATAAAAACTACCGGGAAAAAGGGAAGGGAAAAATCTCATGGCAAGCACGCAGATATAATTACACATTTTCAAGATCAAACAATTTTAATTCAACAAAAATCTCAAACAGTAATCAATTAACCACCACATATTTCCTTATCTGTACAGAGGCAAAAAGAACAGAGTGAGACAACTTACAGCCACCACAACAGGTATGCAGATGACTTTGTTTTCACCTTTATATGGGACCAGTTGAGCTGCATATATTAAAACGGATAGGATGTTTGGATGTAGTAATCATGAGTATATAAGAGGAATTGGCTTGGAATCAAGTTGCCAGCTTTTAAGATGATGAAAATTTGAAGCTTGCAAGCTACTTACGCTCAGTGCAACCAAAGAGATAAACCTTTTTACCATGCAGAGCTCCACCCTCGTCAAATGCATTCTGAACACATTTGACCATTTTATCAGTCATTCTTAATAAAGTTAACTTCATAAGAATAAGTTTAAACTTCAACAAAAAATCAACAATCAATTAAATTCTAAGAGGAAAAGATGAGCTAGTTTCTCACTTCTAGATTGGAGAAATTCCACTTGAATTGATAGACAGAATCCAATTGGTCCCACTGGCATTAGATTATATAAGGCGGTAAGAAAAATAGGGAACAATTATCAATATGTCTAATAAGAAAAGCTACATAGTTTACAAACCTCTGTTCCAACAGGGAATGTTTCCTTCCATAAGTCTTCCTGCGCAATGAATATTGACAAAAACAACAAAAAAGTGATTATCAAGGTCAAAATAACATCAAAAGAATACTTTCACCCATTAGAAACATGCCCCAGCTCCTTATCTATTGGAAACATGAGAGTTCACAACATTTCTCACTGCAGTTATCAACTTCCTATATGAAAAGCAGTAAGCTAAAACCTGAACGATGGTAGTATAAAAAACATTCAATAGCTCAGGAACTCAGTAAATCTACAACATTTTTTAAGAGAATAGAAACATTAGAACTATATATCCATTCTGAAAACAGCTGCGTGCTCCATCAATGGAAATAGCCCAAAAAGCTATAGTCAAGGTTCAGTTGTCTGCTGACATCAATAGGCCTAAACACTTGTTTACCAGGAAGACGAAGTTGACACAGCTTTAATAGATAAAGGAGAGCTAAGCTATAATTGACCTCTTCGTTTTTGATACCACATTCGAATACAGAGCACAATGACGCAAAGCTAAAATAAATCATAGCCTCAGTAACTACCATCTAGCGCTTCTTCAAGGTTCAGCTAACATCAATATCATCCAACTGAATGACCTTCAGTTAGAAACTTGGTTTCAACGATTAACAGCATCGTACATCATATAGGCAATGCCAGATAACACATTTGGATAAAAATAAAAATAATAATAATACTAATAGTAGTAAAAATAAACAACCAAAAAAAGACCTAAAAAAATCCAATAATCTCCAATGTGCGCATACAAGATAAAGAGCCAAATCAAAGTCGAAGCATGTTCAACAGGAATCCGAAATACACAGATTAATAGTTAGCAACTACGATGTACCAAGTTGCGCTGATCTTCGAAGTATTCTGGTTCGGTCTCTGGCTTGGAGGTCCTAGCTCGTTTAGCTCGAGTTGTCTTTGTTGATTGCTTCTTGTTGGCTTCCTCTGGTTGGGAAGATTCTTCCTTCTGCCTCATCTTCCTCTTAGTTCCTTTCCTCATTGTCCGCACAGTTGTAGGACGGAAAACAGAAAATCTAGAGCGAAGGAAGAAATGGATTGGAGAGAGAAGAGAGAGAAATAGGAATAGGGTTTGTGGCGGGACTCGAAAGCGCAGGATCCGGATTCAAATGTAGGAAGAGAGAGAAAGAGAGGAAGAAATAAGAATTTAGGCGTGAGATCAACGCAGATGGTCCAAACCTGAAGAGAGAAGAGTGTGTATCTCTAGAGGCGCGGTTGGCTTTCTAGAGGGTTTTGTAGTGAAAATTGAATGGTTTCAAATTTGATGACCCAGAGGCAGAAACACGTTTTAAAAACGAAAATGTTAGCATACGACAACATTGGCCAAATGGGGAGGTAAAAAACGAAACATGTGGCACGGTTCCGGAGTGATTACTCACTATATAGTGTTTCACCCATTGGCCAATCAAAATATGACACGTCCCGGTTGCCGCTGGAATTGGCGGTATATTCTATTTTCAAATACCATTAGGATAGGATGGAATGCTACTGAATAGAGAAGGCAAATAACCCTTTTCTTGCTAATTTATGGTGATGTTTGCCAACCTCAGAAGTATTTTTTTGTAAATCGTAAAAACACTTTTAAAACCATAGTTTAGTTATATCTATCTTCCATTCATAAATTTATAATCATATATTAATGCCAACATTGACATTAATTTTATCATTTTATCAATGCAAATCATAAATAGTCATGACAAAATCATGCATTTTTTGAAAAAATTACAATAAGATCCCACCCAAGAAAATTAAATACAAAAAGATATCTTAAAATCATCAAATTATTCTGAAATCTCAAAAGATCTCATTATAAGAGATCTCATTTATTTAATTACCAAATTACTTTTTTTAAGTATGCAGTAACAATTAAAAAGTAGACGTTAATAAGTTAAGGTGTAATAGTTAATAACTATTGCAGTGATAGTTATTAATCGTTATATCTTAAGTTGTTAACCACCACATTTTTTGTTGTCAATACATACTTAAAAAAAATAAAGGTGATTTGATAATTAAATAAATAAAATTTCTTGCAATGAAGTCTTTCAAGACTTCAAAATAATTTGATGATTTTAAGATACCTTTTTATATTCAATTCTTTTAGGTGGGACCTTGTTGCAATTTTTCCCATGCTTTTTTTGGGACAAAAAACAAGACAACTCCCTACCGCTTGAAACTAACTAATAAAAGGGGATTCAATCCCATACAATCTTCATTAACAAAATAACAAGGGTTTTAGTTTGAGAATAACAACAATCTAAAAGGGAAAAACTTGATAATCCCATCTTTACAAGAGAATCAGCACCTCTGTTTTGCTCTCTAAAAGTATTGTGCAATTGCCATTCAAATTTCATCATGCTTTGAATCTGGAAAAATACTATATTATCACCTATTTGACTTCTATTTTAGGGCATCATGTCCCATTCTTGGCACCTTATTTAAGAATATTTTCCTAAATTATAAGTCCGAATCTAATCTTAAGACTTTAGAAACGGCTCACTTCTTAGCTGCAAAGGCACTACACTTACCAAAAGTTCGAGTGAATCCAAGTATTCGACAACAATACCTAATTATAAGTCTACTTTTTCTTACTACACATAGGTAATCTCTTATGAAAAGTAATCTATTTGAGATACTGTAGAGTATACTAAAAGTAAGCATCGTTTCTAACAAAAATTTGAATACTACTTCGTTATCTTGTAAAGAACTAGTTTATTTTGCTAGATCAAACATTGTTTTTAAACTAGAAACAGTAATAGTTCCATCCTTCTGTCCCCCCCCTGGTAACTTCCATCAACATTTAAATCATAAGCAGTCCAGCTGTACCACCGCAGCCGAAAGAGCCCAAGCCCAATGACTGGCAAAATACACATCCACAATGCAAATGGTAATACCATATCCACAACATACAAAGCGCCACCCACCCTGAAGGAACTTTTCCCCGAGAGAAATGGGGTTGATCAAAATTCAAAACTCCAATTGCTCTGCCTATGCTTAAGCCATAGCCTTCATTTGAAAAATGTCAAATGACAGATTAAATAAATCAACTTTAGTGGAACACTCAAAATCTGTTTAGAGTTTGTGCCTCCTTGTGAGGTTCTGTAGTGTTAAAGGGACTTAAAAAAAAAAAAGAGATTATGTGGTATCACGGTGGCCAAATTTTCATTGATCATGTTTAACGTTGTGTTTGGCATGAAGGATTTGAAAGGGAAGGAAGGGAGGAGAAAAGATTTTGATCATTTTCTTTTGTTTGACAACTTAAAAATTTTGAGGGAAGGAAAAATTTTCTAAATTTTGTCATATTATTATCATTATACCTATGTTTATTTTCAATAACCCTGTATCATCCCAAACCCTTTTTTTCTTCTCTCCAAACACTACTCTCTCCTTCCCCACTCAAAAGGTAAAGCCAATAAAATAACAAACGAATTATCCATGCCATATTTTAAAGAGTTCGATCAAAAACCAATAAAATAACAAGCGGATAAAAACTGAAACATATAATTATTATTGTTATATATTGTAAGTATAATCATAAAATATAATTTCTGTTCACAGAACAAAACTATAGAGTATAATTATATATTAAATGTTGTTTATAATTCTATTTTATTAAACATTCTATAAAATTTGAAAAAATAATCTTAAATAAAATAATAGCAAAGTTGTCCCTATAAAATATTTTCCCTCTCCTCCCTTCATGAACCAAATAAAATAACATTCGAACTCCTCCCTTCCCCTGTTTTTTAATAAATCCAAACGAGGTAATATTAAAATCATTTCATTCTTTTTCTCTCATCTTCCCTTTATTAAAATCTCTTCCTTCATTTTTTTTCATTGAACCAAACAGACCCTTGACACTTTTTTGTGGTTAATTTCAATAATTCATAACATATTTTATAATTTTTGAAAATTATAAATTAATATTCTCTGAAAGGATTAGAATGTCTATTATTTAATGCAAAAGGCATCATTTAAAAATATTATTACTTGCCCCTGAAATTCGTAAATTTCTAAAATCACCTTGATAAATCGAAGACATGATCATCACAGATAATCCAAACCCGCTGCTTTCTTCAGTTTCTTGGATTAGGTTAATTAAGCATGCCTAGCGAGCTACAGCTTATTTTAAAACAAGTCTAAAATGGATACGGGATTTTACACTTATAAATTTAAAATTGATATAATTTTTAATTTTGAAAAAAAAATATAAACAGCCCTCTAGTTTAATCACCAGCGATAATCAATTGTAATATTGATATCGTAATGTATGCTTGCTAAACACTTAATAACAACTTTACTTAAATTAATAAAATTAATTTAAATTAGTTATTTTTTTAATGTTAAATTACCCTCAATAAAAATTATCAGAGGAGTTTGGTTAATTAGTAGTTAGGGTGTTTCACAGTTAATATTTAATTAGCGATATTAGATTGAAAAAAAGTAATTAACAGGAGTTGGTCTAATTGATAAGGAGTTGGCTCATAATTCATAAAACTGTAAGTTCAAACCCCACAGTCAATGTGAGAATTTTATTGGTGGGCAGTTTATAAACGTTCTCTGAGCTTAGTTTCTTCTTTTTTTTAATAACAAAAATTAGTGCTGTAAACAAAACAGCTCTTGGGAATATACCGGGATATTCTTTTGACCCGTCGCAGTCTCTAAACTTGATATAATTTGCTGTTTTTTTTTTCCTATGCAGTATTTTTAAATTAATACTGTCATGATGAAACATTATTAACGTTCTGTCAATTTCCCCGCATTACACTTCCGCCATTATGGGTACATGATCCCAAAGCTCCGCACCATACAATTCGAAATAGAATCCAAAAATGTCATCCTCAAAATAATGTCTCGAATTTCCAAGTGAACTTTCCACTGAAATTATTGCGGATAATGTGTCATGCTCTGTTTATTTGACTAGAAACACGTTTTGAGAATTTAGGCTTCTTTAGTTGGGTTTTTAGTCCGCCCTACTTAAGAATCAGAAGTTGGATTGGGAGGCTGGCCCAAAAAAAAAATTTCGATTGTGAGGTACGACTTAGGGGGTGTTTGGATAGAAACCAGATTATGGTTTCAGAGGTGCTTTTACGGTTTACGAAGTAAATATGTGGAGGAATTTGTCTCGTTTTACAAAAAAGTACTTCTGAAACCATGATTTGGAGGTTGCCAAACACCCTTTTAGTTAAGCACTTGCGAGTTACTTATTGCTTATCTATCCTGCTTATAGGTGGGTTGGAAAAGGGCTGGTTAAAATACTACTCTGATTCTATTTATAAGATACTTTTAATATATTTCACACAGGCTAAGAAAAATCTTAAAATACATTAATTTTCCATTAAAATATAATAATCTTTCAACTCTACCCATATTTACCTACACCATAATAAATGAAAGACAAAATAGTATATTCACACTAAAAATTTAATAAAATGACTTATAAATAGAACAAAAGAAAAAATTTTCTCTCTCTGTCCTATAAATAGGACCAGAGGAGTATAATCAACCCAATGAAAATTGATATTGCTGTGCTTTTATTGAAAAATATTTAGACCAAATTCTATATATCCGTGATATCAAGTTTTTTGATCACATGTCTTACTTTTTATATGAGTTTATAATTAAATGTTATTAAGTATTAATATTTTAAAAATAGAACATATGATCATAGATGATTGGAAAACCTGACATAACAGATATAAAGAACTTGATTTAAGTATTGTTCTTATATATAATATATTTAAATCATATTTTTAAATAATAAAAATTTGAAATAACTTTTATAAAATTGTCTTCTTCCCCAACTGTAGTTTATGAATTGAAATTGAGGTGAAAGTTGCAGCGCCCATGCCGCATTACTCGCATGATTAGCATCCATGGCTAATTACAGACAAAAACAAGAGACTAACTCCGTAGCAAGTACTATTTTTATTTTAAATATAAGAACTAGTTAAAGATTCAATTTATTTTTAAATATGAGACTCTAATCTAGTTTATCTCTTGTATTTATTTTTTTCAAAGTAATTCCTTTTGTGACTGTTTATGTTAAAATGCTTTTATTGTAAAACACATAATTAACAAGGATTTTAGGGAAAACAACACTCATTTCTTACAAATAATTAATTTAACTAATTTTTTTAACATTGATAAATTAGTTATATAACTCTTATATTAAAAATAGAAAATAGTACTATTCAGAACTAAGGGACAGTATCATCATAGAATATCACAATACTTTAAATAACAAAATAAATC